TGACTACTGAACCAAGTCGATGGAAGCTATACCTGTTTATCATTTTCATCTGCCATACTGCAATCTGGCTCAGGGAAAACGTCTGCAATTGTTGAAAACAGCAGTGCTCCAGCAAAAAACTGCAACCCACATGTCAAAATGTTTAGAAAGATTTTACAAATGCCCAACAGTGTATCTTGCTTTTCTTACCCAAAGGTTTCCTCTCAGAAAACCAATGGCATTGACAGCATCATAAGCCAAGTCAAAGAAAGACATGCTAAGCATGAGTCCAGTAGCAAAGCCCTGCAAAATGGCCAAAATATATTATTTTAAAATGTTGGATTGTGGACAATCAAACTTGTCCTTTCAACGTAACTCCATGGGCAATGGTTAGTAAATAGTAATATCATCAACCTGTAAAATCCCGAGTGTTTTGTTGTTTGGCGCATGATTGAGTATAGCCAACAGTGCACCTGGTGAATAGTATACAAGAATCTTTAGTTATGTGGAGTATACAAATTAAATCTGGGCAATATACATTTGGATAAAATATTTAGTTATCTTAATAGGTTTCTTATGTGTGGTTATCTTGTGGTTATGGCCTGGCTCTATGTACCATGAACTTTATCCTGAAGAAATCTATGTGTGCAAATAGTTCCCATTGTTGACATGATAGGAGCTTTTATCTATTCTTTTCAAGTTCTTTTATTCTCGGATGCAATATAAGCTCAACTAATCAATTTATACCAGTCCACTCCAAAATTTTGGACAGAAACCTAGGGACCAGCATGACTAGTGTCGTTTCAAATTCAAGATCGTCCAAGGTGCATAACCGAAACTCTCAGATTATTGTGAACCAAAAAAAATAACTGATTAGGGCGAGCAACTGGAAATGTAACTTTTTTTTTACCGAAACGGCAGGGTAGTCCTCTACCTTTTTTTTTTCTTTTTTCTTTAATAAGGAAAACAGGAGAATACAACTGTACAAAGACAACAGGAAACAGAAAAGTACAAGGCATCCAGGCCCAAAGAGAAAAAAAAAACTAACCATGCATGAGTAAATAATGTAAATGTAGTACAAACAACTCAAGTGATCATGAAAATGTACAATGAGAGGAAGTAAATTGTTGGTACATACCAAGGGAGGTGCTTAAACCGCCGACGAGGGACAGGGTGAGAGCAACCGAAACCTTTGGATCCATATGTGTATCAGGTGATTTATCTGCTGGATCTTCAATTCCCTTTTGCAGGTGAGCTGTAATAGTGCTTGGGAACAAATGAGGCCGCGATGTAAGTAAGGAAATAAAGGCTTGAGGAGGCTGCTACGAGAATTGGAAGGATGAACGGAGGCTGCTTGGATTTGGGATGATGGAGATGGGTCAGTGTGGGCTAGCTTTGCTTTCCCTTTATATAAAGGCCAATGCAAGGTGCGTCATGTCGGGGAGCTTGTGTGTGACAACGTAACTGCTGATGCATGAACCATGATGTATATAAAATCAGTAGATATTGAGCATCAAGTGGAGCAGGAGGCACGTTACAGTCATGGATGGAGGGATTCCTGCAGGTAGCTTGCATTTGTCCAGTTGATAGCTGAGCCGATCGAGGGGGGCAAGTCTGGAATGACTTCGCATGGTAGCTTAATGACATGACATACTGGTGGTTGAAGCAAGGATGCCTGCAGTGTAGGCAAGGTAACATCTATCGTCCAATTCGTCATCCATCACCTGTTAGTCTGTTACCAGCTAGGGGAGTAGAGAAAGGAATACATAGTTCCATAATACCCAGCTGTATCTGCATAGGAGGAAACAGTGGTGTGGTTTATTTTTGTTTTTGTTTTTTTGTCCCAAATGACAGAGGCACATTTATTCATTTATTTTGTAAAATACTCTGCTGCCGTAGGTGTGTCACACTGCATGATCTGATCAAAAGGTGCCGCTAGGTGCAGTGCAGGCATACATGCATCAGCACAGCAGCATGCATATCTTTCAAAGTACCCTGCACGGTGCAATGTGTGTTGTCGATGATGGATGGGCGAGGGCGCGTGCGTTGTCCAGTATTTTATTTTACCCGGAAACCTTTACCCAGGCCCCTAGTAGCTAGTAGAGTATGTTTGCAATGCAAGGAAACTGAAAAGAACACCCAGACTAGCTAGTGTTTCGTGTTGTCACCCCCGGTTGCCCTTTAAGGTTTTATAATAAGGTCGGGTGGTCTCATGTCATCACGCACCAAGCTTAACCATTCATATCATCCAGTTAGGACAAGGAAATCAAATTCATACTAAATCTGCCGTACACCATTTACATCATCCAGTTAGGTCAAATTCATACCCAATTCATCGTACATCATTTGCATCATCCAGTTTGGACAAGGGAATTAAATTCATACAAAATTTACCATACATCATCTGCATCATCCAGTTAGGACAAGGATTTTTTTTTCGCGAACATGTTGTGCACGTGTTTCATTAAGAGTAAAATGGCAAGGAAATCAAATTTATACTAAATTTTCCGTACATCATTTAGTTACGACAAGAAAATCGATCAAATTCATTCTAAATTTGCCTTACATCATATACATCATTTAGTTAGGACAAGAAAATCAGATTCATACTAAATTTGTGGTACTTCATTTACATCACCCAGTTAGGACAAGGACATCAAAATCATACTAAATTTGTGGTACGTCATGCATCCAGTTAGGACAAGAAAATAAAATTCATACCGAATTTGTCGTACAACATATACATGATGCAGTTATTACAATGAACTAAGGAAGTCAAATTCATACTGAATTTGCCATACATCTTTTATGGAGTGCATATATATGTTTCATATATACTTGTGAAAGCAAACGTCAAATCCAAGTATAAGAAACACAAAATAAATCCAGGGATCTTTCTAGGTGAAATTGTAACTTCTTTTCCTCATCCATCCTTGTTTGATGCAGCCTTTTCTTGTAAAACTATTTACAAGCTAGTTCCGAGGTGTATCATCCTAGGGCAAGGAGTGAAGCCTCCTGGACAAACTATTTATAAGTCACATCTAATAGGAACAGGTTCCCCAATCTCTTGATTCATAAAGATGGATATCTCTGTACGGGACATGGACATAAGCTTTCAGAAACCCGGTGCTCTAGCTCCGCCACTGCCACTGCTCCTGGACAAACTATTGAATATTTTATTAAGATTGATGAATCAATGCCGTACATTGCAGATTGATTCAGTTTTTTTTTGTTGATTTTTTGTTGATTATGCATTTTCTTTGTTGTTTTCTTATCTATAGAGTGTTTAAGCCGGTAAGCCTGTAAAACCGGTGCTGGTGATTCACTCACTTAGATAGTGGCCCTAGGCGTCAAAATTCACCAGCTCCGGAGACATGGAACAAGAAGCTATGAGGAATTTTTCTCCCCGCGAAGATAGGGATGGTGAGCTACCCCCAATGGAAAATTCACTGTTGACATTCGTAAACGTGCTAACATAAAGCATGATGACGCTAGACCACACAAGTTAACAGTGTCGGATGCCAAGTTGTAAGCACTAATAAGTTTGTTTGCATCATTATATATAAAATATGGTATTTCACGTAACGAAATTGTTTCAGTGGTATTTTTCAAATCTCATGATTTTTAGGACCAATTTTGCCACTACTATATCACATGACTGCTGCCTACAATGACGGCTCTTTGAACGGGACGTTGAAGACAGCTTCCGTAGTGGGCAAAGAGGACACGGCCGCCGGTGTGTTCGCGGTGCAGGCCACAGGACGAGATGGACGCCACAGCCACGCAATGAGGACAACTGTGAGGGTGGCAATTTCTTCTCGTCTACTAGTTGTAGCTCGAGAAGTTTGTGTGTTTTGACTGAGTAGCCTATAATCATCATGTTCGCTTAGTTTATAAGTCGTATTTTTTTAGCCAACGAATAATATTTTTCTCTCACAACAAATCAGCCAACAATACTTTCAGTCATGGCTTATCACACCAAAGCGAACAGGGCAAATAGTGTTGGAGATTGAGCCATGCATGGGTGAGTTTTATACTTTTATATGTGCAAGTGTAATTGATTCCATTTCAGTAATAATTGTAATGGAATTTAGGTAGCGATGCTTACAAATCTAATGGCATGAGTTAGTTCAATCTTCTGTGCCTGATTAATTAATGTAGGAGTTAAATGAAATTACTTCCATTAATGTAACTTAACAATTTTCGCAAAAAAAAAGTAACTTATTAGTAATAACTTGCATATGCACCTTAGTATCATTTTTTTTGTTTCAACGGAAATAAGAGTAAAAAATATGCTGTGATCTCTGATGATATATAATACTAGTAGCATAGTATCTTACATATACTTTCTCTAATAAAACAAGATATATACGGAGAGAGAACGGCGGCGGCGGCAGCAGCAGCAGCACACAAGTAGTGGGCTGTCTTTCACATGCTCAGGCCAGCTCAAGAATGGCCCATATAAAATTGAAAGGTCCGCGCGGCGCCACGTCGCGACAAAATAACACGCAGCAACCCGTAATCCAGACTTGGCCGAAAAAGCCTCCCGCCTCGGCCGCACGCCGCACCGGCACCGCTCTATGCAGTCTGCTCTCCGGTGAATCGCTCACAGTCCCAGTCCAGATCGCACCGCGAAGCGTCCAGCCATGAGCTCCGCTGCGGTGGCCGCCAATGTCGCCGTCATCGGAGCCGGAAGTAAGCAGCCTTAACGCTCAACCTCATCTCTCGTCCCTTACCGCACCTCTGATTCCTGAACAACTGAACGATCCGATCCACCCTGTTCTGCCTGGCGCCTGCAATCCTCACTCTACTTTTCCCGACGATCGCAGTATCCGGCTCCGTGTGCGCGTCGCTCCTCGCCGCGCGGGGCGTGGCCGTGACGCTCTTCGACTCCGGCCGCGGCGCCGGCGGCCGCATGGCGCAGCGGAGGTGCTCGACCGATTGACTCCTCGCTGCCCCTGCGCGCGCGTCGCTCCGGCTCTGACTGGTCGGTGCTTGGCTTGGGTGAGCGCAGGGAGGTGATGGAGGATGGCACGGAGCTGCGGTTCGACCACGGTTCGCCCTACTTCACCGTCAGCAACGGCGAGGTTGCCCGGGTCGTCAGTGGATGGGAGGCGCGGGGGATCGTCGCCGAGTGGAAGGCCACATTCGCATGCTTCGATCTGGCAACCGGCAAATTCACAGACTTCGAGAAGGTTCGAGCTTTGAATCCTAACCCTTTCCGTAGGTTTGTCCATTGCTTAAAAAACTGAAATAATAAGGCGGTTGGTACATTTACCATGAGGGTCCCACATAGATATTAAGCAATTAGAAGTTAGCTAAAAATTTTCAGTTTCAAAACCTGGCAATGACTGTACATAATGTGCATCTGATAGTTTGGGTATGCCAAACTTGTGTATCGTGTATTGTCCATCTGGAATGTCTCTGATGATTACCTTGATCTATGTTTAAGGGATGAGGCGAAGCAATTTTGAAGTTAGGCAGTGTCATGTAGGCTTTCAGTTGCTCAGATAATCTAGCATTGGTGTGTTCAGAGTACTTTCAAGAAGCATGATTTACATAGATTAGCAGGAGAATATTGAAATTTTACCGCAAGGTTTAATTTGACGTTTTCTTAATATAATATAATTTGTTTCCTTGGGATGTGTTCTTGCATCTTACAGGAGGGAACAGCTAAAAAGTATGTGGGAGTGCCAGCCATGAACTCAATATGCAAATCACTCTGTGCAGAGGATGGTTAGACCTCAGACTTCCAACTTTCTGAGTGCCATAATGTTCCAGAGACCGAGGAGCCTGTACAGATGCTTAATGTACATGCATACTCTGCTTCTGCTAGGTGTGGTGGCCAAATTTGGTGTCACTGTGGGCAAGATGGATTGGCTTCGAGATAGGAGTTCATGGTCACTAGCTAGCTTGGATGGGAAAGATCTTGGCTATTTTGATTACGTCGTAGCAACAGATAAGAACGTAGCGTCAACAAGTTTTTCTGGGTTGACTGGAAGACCGCCACCTCTTGGTTTGTTCTATAGTTTCCATAATATCATTCAATATTATTGCTCTAGTTTTGGAACACAATCTTGTTTCCTGACAAGTTCTACTAATGAAATGTTTATCACTTTAGTCAATAGCAGTATTCTTATCACTATTTTAGTTGGAAAGATACTTTTTATTTTGCCGAAAGCAACTTCTTTTCATGCCTCGGGTTCAGATTGTGTATATGTTTCTGTAAGTTATGGAAATTCAAAGTCATAGTAGCAGGACACCTTGAGCCGATGCATGTTTTCTCTCCTTTTTTTCTGCTTATGCTTGGTATGTATTTGTTTGTAAGTAAGGGCAAAATAATGGTTAACATAGAGACAGGCAGCATATTTGAATTGAACGTAAGAGTCCACTTAAATGGTGATGCTAACTACTTGCACTCGTGTTAGGTAGTATTAATATTGGTACTAATTACTGAGCATCAGTATCTTTCATACAAGTGCAATGCATGAGAAATACATGTGTTTCCTCAAAAAAAAAAAAGAGAAATACATGCTTTGACCAATCCTTGGTAATGTTTCCTCAGATTTATCGTCATTTCCACACCTGCCTACAATACTTCAAGATATCCCAGTCCGTCCGTGTTTTGCTCTTATGGTAGCATTCTCGGAGCCATTGGCTATGGTATGTGCAATCTTCAATTATATCCACTCACAAAGTTCCCCGTTTTCTCAGTTGCTTGGGACTAAAGACTGTTGTTGTAGTCAGTTCATACTTATATATTATGCATATGGGCCCACTATTTGTCATTATGCATAGAGCCTCAGTGATCGCAAAAATGCATGCACATGGACCATAAGGTAGAACCTCAGGGGTATTGTAGTTACCAAAGTCCTACAATGCAGCATTGCAGGAAATATTTGTATCCCAAAATGCTCAAGTTAGCTAGTTGTATATTAACTGCTAATCTGCTATCATGGTAATTATGGACATGAGGCTGTTCCCTAGCTAATGATATTGTAAGCAACTTTCATTTATCGGTTTCTGAATTTATTCGTCTGCCTCCTGCAAAAATGTCTATTTATCTTCCTAATGATGTTTTAATCAGGTACCCGTTCATGGCTTCTCTTTCAACAATTCCAATTCTCTGAGTTGGGCTTTTTGTAATAGTAGCAAGCCAGGTCGTGCTTGTGTACCTCCTAACAGGTACATGTCTTTTTTTTTTTTTGTGTACACATAGTATGTTATTTGGTGTCACAAATTTTCACTTCATGTACTTTTTGTTTGTATTCAGACAATCTTGGGTGTTGCATTCGACAACTGAGTATGCTTCCAAGGTAGTAAAGAATATTGGTCCACGGAAACCTTCAGCAGAGGCACTTGCTAAAGTGGCAGAGGAATTGTTCAGTGAATTCCAGGCGACTGGATTAGGCATTCCACAACCAATTTTTATGAAAGCTCACAGATGGTCAGTTTTTTCAACCATATCTTTTAGGGTTGTCGCCTTTAATTGTATTGAAAGAACTAGCATTTTCCCCCGTCCCTGTTGGTATTTGATAATATGTAAAATTGCAGGGGTGCTGCTTTCCCAGCCATTGCAATTAGTGGAGATGATAAGTGTGTTTGGGACAAGAGCACGAAATTGGCAATTTGTGGAGATTTCTGTACAAACCCACGTGTCGAAGGAGCAATCCTTAGTGCTACGAGAGGGGCTTCCAAAATCCTTGAAAGTTTAAGCCTCCCGTCAGGGTTGTGACTTGTATATCTAACCTATGACGATCCTCAGGGCCCCTCTCTGTGATTTGTTGTATTTATGCCTGCATTTCCTACAGAGATAAACAATCAAGCCTTATTTGGAGGCACATATTGTTCGTTGATTATGCTGATATTGAATAAGGAATAAAGCAACAGCAGGCGTTGCTACCCTTTTTTGTTAAAGACGTGATCATTTGCCACTGAATTGGAGGGCTCTTTTTTTTGGCTTTTGCCATTGATGAAGTGTAGCACCTGGTTTTAAGGACAAAACCAGATACACACCATATGTGTGCCCAGAAATTCAATTCACACATACAGTTACAAATGAAGGGGTAATATCAAAGACAATACATTTATTATATAGCGCATAAGTAGTTGTTACAAAAGACATAGTCTTACTTAGTATATACTATAACTCTATTTTTTTGGCGAAGCCTCCAACACCACAGGAATCGTCAACTGGTTGATCACAAGCCTCACACCTCTTAGAAAACTTCACTGAAGAACCTCCATCTGGTACCCATCCGAGATTTTGTCAAAGTATTGAAATAAAACAAGCGTAAGCTACTACCGCTTAGCAAGCATAACATGAGGGGATGCAGGCTCAAAAGACTTGACACGGCTAAAACTACGGTAAGCACTTTGAGTTGGTCATATTTTATTATTAATCATAAGTTGCTAAGTTATGCTTAGACTCCCAAATATGAATAATTAGATATATCAGTAATTTTAGTCTTAACCCAAACCACCCGAGTAACCAACTATTCAGTAAGGGTCCAGGCCGCTCGTGACCGTGAGCACGGCTGATATACCAGTTTTACACTCTGCAAATGTTGTACACTTTCACCATGAGTCGTGTTACCCATATGCCCGGGTTTGCAACACCCAAAACACTTCTAAGGTGAGCAAGCAGTGTCGACGAAATATGGTCGGCAGTCCACCGAGGGGGGTGCCCGTGGTGGTAGATTATCGGTAGACGGTGCGTGTAATCAGGAACCAGATGGTGACACAAGGCGCAGAGACAACGATTTAGACAGGTTCGGGCCGTCTGATCGACGTAATACCCTACGTCCTGTGTCTTTGGTGTATTGTATTGAGATGTATACAGATTAACCTGTCCTCTAGGGGACCCTTGTCTCCCCTTATATACTCCGAAGAGACAAGGTTACAAGTAAAGTATCCAATTTGGTACTATTACAATATCTAGTATAACTTGTAATCTTGATGTGCACGCCTTGATCTTACGGCTCGGGCCACCTCGGATGGTGCGGCCCATGTACCATCTTGTGGTACCCGGGGGTATATCCCTCACAGCTAGTCCCCGAGCGCCATGTATTCTGATGCGACACGCCATTTTAACCTTTTCAACAGTGAGGCTTGAGTTCTTGACATCCCCGACCACCGTTGTCGCCGGAGAAGTAGGTTGTCCGAAGAATGTATGGTGCTCTTAAGAAGAAAGAAAAAGATTTCCGTCCTGGGAAGTGTGCCCACTTGTATTTCTGAAAAGAAATGTAAGTGCGTCTTGAAGCGTAGCGTCTTTGATCATCAGAGGCATAGGGGTCGAAAAACAAACACATTCACCGCAAGGTGAAGTGTGCCCACTTAGTCCCCGAGCCTGGTAGTAGGTGACGTAGGCACATGGTGCTAGGGTCTAAAAAGAATTCCTAGTTAAGTTGAGAATCCAATCGTCGTACAAGCGATACGAGATGCACTGGCAGGTGCATCGTACCGATGTAGTCCCCGAGCTTGCTGGAAGGCGAGGTATGAGCCTTATAGCAAGGTCTAAGTGAGAAAAAATATCCCAACTGTATGTGAGTCGCCAGTCGCATGTAGTCGAGACACAAAGTCCCCGAGCCGTGGTCGGAGAGTGGTCGAGCAGTCCCCGAGCACAGGTCGAGGAGCGAGCGACGAAGTCCCCGAGCCGTGGTCGAAGAGTGGTCGAGGCAGTCCCCGAGCACAAGTCGAGGAGCGAGCAACGAAGTCCCCAAGCTGTGGGCGGAGAGTGATCGAGGTAATCCCCGTGCGTGAGAAGCGAGCGACGAAGTCCCCGAGCTATGGTCAGAGAGTGATCGAGGCAGTCCCCGAGCGTAGGTCGAGGAGCGAGCGACGAAGTCCTCGAGCCATGGTCGAAGAGTGGTCGAGGCAGTCCCCGTGCGTGAGAAGCAAGCGACGAAGTCCCCGAGCTGTGGTCGGAGAGTGGTCGAGGCAGTCCCCGAGCACAGGTCGAGGAGCGAGCGACGAAGTCCCTGAGCCGTGGTCGGAGAGTGGTCGAGGCAGTCCCCGTGCGTGAGAAGCGAGCGACGAAGTCCCCGAGCTATGGTCGGAGAGTGGTCGAGGCAGTCCCCGAGCATAGGTCGAGGAGCAAGCGATGAAGTCCCCGAGCATAGCTCGAAATTACTGCAATAAAAATATGTAGAATGGTAGTACATGATATACAAAATAATAAATTATGGAGAAAATGACGCTCAACAGCCATTTGCAAATGAGCATGATATGATAAAGTAGTTGGTGCTTTGTAAACATCAGTGTTAATGTGAAGTTTGTGTTTATACTTAATATAAACTGCCCGACCAGTTAGTATGTAGCTGAGTCTCCAGCCCTAGCTAGCCCGTTAACCATAACGCGGGGCACGGAGCCCGTGCACATGTAGGAAGAACAAAGTGTCGCTAAGGAGCCACTGCCGACCACCCATAACGCAGAGGGCAGACGCTCGTGCACGTGTAGGGAGGAGCCGGAGACAGGGCCTTTTTTGGAGACATTGAGCGTCAACATGATTGGTCGAGGATTTGCATTAAGTATAGTTGTATGTTATCTTTAAGATTGTATACATGGACAATCGTTATTTGAAGAATAATCATGACGAGGACGCTGTGGAGAAACGTCATAATGAAAATTGTGTTAAATATAAATATTAGAAGTGTACTTATCTTTGGATAGAAATCTGGTCGGTGGCAATGAAGTTGTCCGGTCCTCGAGCTTTCCGACTTGTCGTCACTACGATGGTCGCGGTTGTCGTAGCGCCGTTCTTCGCGGCGATCATCATTGCGATGTGGTCTGGTGGTCGGAGCTCGGTAGAGCCGCTCGGGACGTGGTCGACGTGGTCTGTGGTCGACGTGGTCGGAGCTCGGCGTAGCCACGTGGTCGAAGCGTGCTTGATGCCATATGTGCGTGTGCACATGCAAGTGCCACAGTGATCTGTAGTTGGCCTACACGTACATGTACACATACTTCTTCCTTATTTGCTTGCATGCATGCAGATTTGCTTCCATGGAGATCTCTGTTGTGTTTGATTCGAATTGGAGTAGAACTCCCGTGCGGATGCGGCTTGGAGTGCAAACGCCATGTAGTTGCGTCGTCGAGTCCTCGACGGGTCGGTGAAGTCGGAGAAGACGCCGATGATGAGGTTGCATGTATGCGGCTGTAGGCCGTATGTCTTGATTGGATCTCGGTGACTGGATGATGATCTAGCTTACCGAAACTGTTCGTGAGAACGTCGAGCGTAGATGCATGTATACACGGAAGTATGTGTGGCTTGCATGATGATCTAGCTTGCTTGTTTGTCATTGGCTTGCATCCTTCGTATATGCATATGTTGTATATGTGCATATGCCCATGCATGCAAGTTAGCCTTGCATGTTGCTGTAGATCACGGGCCTGGCCTGCCAACGTATCCATGTCGATCTCTTGGAATCGGATCCCAAAGCCATGCATGTTGCTGTAGATCACGGGCCTGGCCAGCAAACGTATCTGTATCGATCTCTTGGAATCGGATCCCGAAGCCATGCATGTTGCTGTAGATCACGGGCATACTGGAGCCCTGCGTGCCCGTCGTGAGCCCGATGGGATCTCAACGAAGCGCCGCCATGTAGTTCAGCCGAGGAGAGGATCAGATGGACGTCGGTATGCAACGGAGGTCGCTGAGTTGTAGCCATAGTAGATTGATTCCATCGCTGAGTTGTTGTCGTACGGTGGAATCAAGGTCTGCCATCTAGTTCACCATGGATCAGCGCACACACCCCCTACCTGGCGCGCCACTGTCGACGAAATATGGTCGACAGTCCACCGAGGGGGTGCCCATGGTGGTAGATTATCGGTAGACGGTGCGTGCAATCAGGAACCAGATGGTGACACAAGGCGCAGAGACAATGATTTAGACAGGTTCGGGCCGTCTGATCGACGTAATACCCTACGTCCTGTGTCTTTGGTGTATTGTATTGAGATGTATACAGATTAACCTATCCTCTAGGGGACCCTTGTCTCCCCTTATATACTCCGAAGAGACAAGGTTACAAGTAAAGTATCAAATTTAGTACTATTACAATATCTAGTACAACTTGTAATCTTGATGTGCACGCCTTGATCTTACGGGCCGGGCCACCTCGGATGGTGCGGCCCATGTACCATCTTGTGGTACCCGGGGGTATATCCCTCACAGGCAGGGTACACTACGAAGATTTTCCCTAGTCGTTCTAATAAGGAGCCGTTGCTAAGGATTCCATCTCCCAAGTGTTATGGAGTCATCTCCAAAAGTGGCACTGATACACGCAGCATAGTACACACCCTGGGGATAAGGCCCATACCCAGCCCGGTATGCCCCTCTTGCCCTTTCGGTAAACTGCTACAAACTAGAAAGAGCAAGGTAGTAGACTAAGACCAGAGTCATGTAGTCTTCATGGTTGTACTATAAGTCCTGGGTTGTCACTTAAAGATAAGTCCTTATGGAGAGAAACTAGAGCACCCTAAGAAAAGGCCCAATGCTCTAGCCCCTTTGGTTCCATGTTGCTAAAAACATCTTTTAATACCATGTTGCATATATCTTTAATTGTATTCTTTAATCAATATTAGTTGGAGCAAACTGAGAATACTACCCACATGCAAAACCCATAGGTATATCAAGGATAGGATAATCAATATCAAGGTAGGTAGACTCCAAGCAATTCATTAACATATGCACATGAATTAAGATTGCATTAAAGTGAATATATAATAAGGAGCCTCATA